GCACCATGTGGGCTCTTGGCAGCAAGTAGGCTCCATGCAGCATGTTGGCTCCAGGGAGCATGTGGGCTCCATACAGCATGTAGGCTTCACGCAACATGTGGGCTCCACACAGCATAAGGCTCCAGGCAGCATGTAGGCTTCGGTAAGCATGTGGGTTCCTGGCAGCATTTGAGCTCCAGGCAGCATTTGGACTCCACGCAGCATGTGGATTCCAGGCAGCATGTGGGATCCAGGCTGCAAGTGGGCTCCAGGCACCATGTGGGCTCCAGGCAGCATGCGGTCTCCAGGCAGCATGTGGGCTCCAGGCACCAAATGAGCTTCAGGCAGCATGTGGACTCCAGGCACCTAGTGGGCTTCAGTCAGAATGTGGGCTTCCGACAGAATTTGGGCTGCAGGCAGCATGTGGGCTTCAGGCGGCAAGTGGGCTCCAGGCAGCATGTGTGCGTCAGGCACATCGTGAGCTCCTCGAAGCATGTGGGCTTCAGGCAGCATGAGGGCTCCAGGCAGCAAGTGAGCTTCAGGCAGCATGTGTACTCCAGGCAGCTAGTGGGCTTCAGGCAGAATGTGGGCTCCAAACAACAAGTGTGCTCCAGGCAGTAGGTGGGCTTCAGGCAGCATGTAGGCATCAGGCAGAATTTGGGGTCCAGGCAGTATGTGGGCTCCAGGCAAAATGTGAGCTCCAGGAAGCAAGAGGGCTTCTGGCAGCATGTTGGCTCCAGGCAGCATGTGGGCTCTAGGCAGCATGTAGGCTCGAGGCAGCAAGTAGGCTCCAGGTAGCAAGTGGGCTCCAGGCAGCATGTGGGCTCCAGGCTACATTTAGGCTCTAGGAAGCATGTGGGCTGCAAGCAGCACGAGGGTTCCAAGCAGCATGTGGACTCCAGGCAACATGTGGGCTCCAGGCAGCATGTGAACTCCAGGCAACATGTGGGCTCTAGACAGTATGTGGGCTCTGGCAGCATGTGGGCTCCAGACAGCATGTGGACTCTGGCAGCATGTCGGCTCTGGCAGAATGTGGGCTCAGCAGCATTTCGGTTCAGCAGCATGTGGGCTTCAGGCACATTGTGGGCTAAAGGCAGAAGAAGGGCTCCAGGCAGCGTGTGGGCTCCAGCTGGCAGCAAGTGGGCTCCACGCATCATGTGGCCTCCAGGCAGCCTGTTGTGTCCAGGCAGCCTGTGGGGTCTAGGCAGCCTGTGGGGTCCAGGCAGCATGTGGGCTCCTGACAGCATGTGGGCTCTACGCAGCATGTGGGCTCAAGGCAGCATGTGGGCTTCAGGTAGCATCTGGGATCAAGGCAGCATGTGGGTTTCAGGCCGCATGTTGGCTCCAGACAGCAAGTGGTCTCCAGACAGCAAGTGGTCTCCAGACAGCAAGTGGTCTCCAGACAGCAAGTGGTCTCCAGGCAGCAAGTGGTGTCCAGGAAGAATTTTGGGCTCAAGGCAGTATGTGGGCTCCAGGCAGCAGGTGCGCACCATAATATGTGGGTTCTAAGCAGCATGTGGGCTCCAGGCAGCATGTGGCCTCCAGGCAGCATGTGGGCTCCAGGTAGCATGTGAGCTCCAGACAGATATGGGCTCCAGACCAAATGTGAGCTCCAGAAATCAAGTGGGTTTCAGGCAGCATGTGGGTTCCAGGCAGCATGTGGACTCCAGGCAACATGTAGGCTCCAGGAAACATGTGAACCTCAGGCAACATGTGGGCTCTAGACAGCATGTGGACTCTGGCTACATGTCGGCTCTGGCAGAATGTGGGCTGAGCAGCATGTGGGCTTCAGGCACATTGTGGGCTCCAGGCAGAACGAGGGCTCCAGGTAGCATGTGGGCTTCAGGCACATTGTGGGATCCAGGCAGAACGAGGGCTCCAGGTAGCATGTGGGCTCCACCTGGTAGCAAGTGGGCTCCAGGCAGCATGTGGCCTCCAGACAGCATGTGGGCTCCAAGCAGCACGTGGGTTTCAAGGTGCATGTGAGTTCCAGGCTGCAAGTGTGCTACAGGTAGCATGTGGGCTCCAGGCAGCAAGTTGGCTATAGGCAGCATGTGGGCTCCAGGGAGCAAGTGGGCTCCAGGCAGCATGTGGGCTTCACGCACCATGTGGGCTTTAGGCAGCATAAGGCTCCAGGCAGTATGTAGGGTTCGGTAAGCATGTGGGCTCCAGGAATCATGTGGTCTCATGGCAGCAAGTTTGCTCTAAGCAGCAAGTAGGCTTCTGGCAGCATGTGGGTTTCATGTAGCAAGTAGGCTTAAGGCAGCAAGTAGGCTTCAGGCAGCATGTGGGCTGCAGGCAGCATTTTGGCTCCAGGCAGCAAGTAGGCACCAGGCAGCAAGTGGGCTCCGGGTATCAAGTGTGCTCCAGACAGGAAGTAAGCTTCAGGCAGCATGTGAGCTTCAGGCAGCATTTGGGCTCCAGGCTGCATGTGTGCTTCAGGCACATTGTGGGCTCCACGCAGCATGTGGGCTCCACGCAGCATGTGGGCTTCAGGCAGAATTTGGGCTGCGGGCAGCATGTGGGCTTCAGGCAGAATTTGGGCTGCGGCAACATGTTGGCTTCAGGCAGCATTTGAGCTCCAGGCAGCATGTGGGTTCCAGGCAGCATGTGGGTTCCAGGCAGCATGTTAGCTCCAGGCAGCAAGTGGTCTCCAGGCAGCATGTAGGCTATAGGTAGCATGTGGGCTCCAGGAAGAATTTTGGGCTCCAGGCAGTATGTGGGATGCAAACAGCAGGTGGGCTCCAGAGTATGTGGGCTCCAGGCAGCATGTGGTCTCCAGACAGCATGAGGGCTCCAGGTAGCACGTGGGCTCCAGCCCGCATGTGGCGTCCAGAATATGTGGTTTCCAGGCAGCATGTGGGCTTCAGGCAGCATGTGGTCTCCAGGCAGCATGTGGGCTCCAGACAAAATGTGAGCTCCAGAAAGCAAGTGGGTTTCAGGCAGTATGTGAGTTCCTGGCAGCATATGTGGATTCCAGGCAACATGTGGGCTCCAGGCAGCTTGTGGACTCCAGGCAGCATGTGGGCTCTAGACAGTATGTGGGCTCTGGCAGCATGTGGGCTCCAGACAGCATGTGGACTCTAGCAGCATGTTGGCTCCGGCAGCATGTGGGTTCAGGCAGCATGTGGGTTCAGGCAGCATGTGGGCTGCATGCCGCATTTAGGCTCCAGGCAGCAAGTGGGCTCCTAGCATCATTTGGGCTCCAGGCAGCATGTGGGTTCCAGGCAGCATGTGGGTTACAGGCTGCAAGTGTGCTCCAGGCAGCATGTGGGCTCCATGTACCAAGTGGGTTCCAGGCAGCAAGTGGGCTTCAGGCAGCATATCGGCTCCAGGCAGCATATGGCCTCCAGGCAGCATATGGGCTCCATGGAGCAAGTGAGCTCCAGGCAGCATGTGGGCTTCACGCAGAATGTGGGCTCCAGGCAGCAAGTAGGCACCAGGCAGCAAGTGTGCTCCAGGCAGGAAGTGGGCTTAAGGCAGCATGTGGGCTTCAGACAGCATTTGGGCTCCTGGTAGCATATGTGGGTTTCAGGCACATTGTGGGCTCCACGCAGCATGTGGGCTTTAGGCAGCAAGAGAGCTTCAGGCAGCATGTGGACTCCAGGCAGCTAGTGGGCTTCAGGCAGAATGTGGGCTCCAATCAGCTAGTTTGCTTCAGGCAGCAAGTGGGCTGCAGGCAGCATGTGGGCTTCAGGCAGAAATTGGGCTGCGGCAGCATGTTTGCTTCAGGCAGCATGTGAGATCCAGGCAGCATGTGAGCTCCAGGCAGCAAGTAGGCACCAGGCAGCAAGTAGGCACCAGGCAGCAAGTGGGCTTCGGGTATCAAGTGTGCTTCAGGCAGGAAGTGGGCTTCAGGCAGCATGTGGGCTTCAGGCAGCATTTGGACTCCAGGCAGCATGTGGGCTTCAGGCACATTGTGGGCTCCCCGCAGCACGTGGGCTGGGCTCCAGGCAGCATGTGGACCCCAGGCAGCAAGTGAGCTTCAGGCAGCATGTGGGCTGTAGGTTGCAAGTGTGCTCCAGGCAGCAAGTGGGCTTCAGGCAGCATGTGGGCTGCAGGCAGCATGTTGGCTCCAGGAAGCAAGTAGGCACCAGGCTGTAAGTGGGCTCCTGGAATCAAGTGTGCTCCAGGCAGGAAGTGGGCTTCAGGCAGCATGTAGGCTTCAGGCACATTGTGGGCTCCACGTAGCATGTGGGCTCCAGGCAGCATGTTGGTTCCACGCTGCAAGTGTGCTCCAACCAGCATGTGGGCTCCAGGCAGCAAGTGGGATCAAGGCAGGATGTGGGCTTCAGGCAGCACGTGGGCTCCAGGCAGCATGTGGGCTCCAAGGAGCAAGTCGGCTCCAGGGAGCATGTGGGCTTCACGCAGCATGTGCGCTCCAGGCAGCATAAGGCTCCAGGCAGCATGTTGGCTTCGGTCAGCATATAGGCTGTAGGAAGCATGTGGTCTCCAGGCAGGAAGTTTGCTCCAGGCAGCAAGTAGGCTTCAGGCAGCATGTGGGCTGCAGGCAGCATGTTCGCTCCAGGCAGCACGTAGGCACCAGGCATCAAGTGGGCTCCGTGTATCAAGTGTGCTCTAGGCAGGAAATGGGCTTCAGGCAGCATGTGGGCTCCAGGCAGCATGTGGGCTTTAGGCACATTGTTAGCTCCTCGCAGCAAGTGGGCTGCAGGCAGCAAGTGGGCTTCAGGCAGCATGTGAGCTGCAGGCAGCATGTTCGCTCCAGGCAGCACGTAGGCACCAGGCTTCGAGTGGGCTCCGTGTATCAAGTGTGCTCTAGGCAGGAAGTGGGCTTCAGGCAGCATGTGGGCTCCAGGCAGCATGCGGGCTTTAGGCACATTGTTAGCTCCTCGCAGCATGTGGGCTCCAGGCAGCATGAGGGCTCCAGGCAGCAAGTGAGCTTGAGGCAGCATGTGGACTGCAGGCAGCTAGTGGGCTTCAGGCAGAATGTTGGCTCCAAACAACAAGTGTACTTCAGGCAGCAAGTGGGCTTAAGGCAGCATGTGGGCTTCAGTCAGAATTTAGGGTCCTGGCCGCATGTGGGCTTCAGGCAGATTGTGGGCTCCAAGCAGCAAGTGTGCTCCAGGCAGCAAGTGGGCTTCAGACAGCATGTAGGTTTCAGGCAGAATTTGGGCTCCAGGCAGTATGTGGGCTCCAGGCAAAATGTGAGCTCCAGGAAGCAAGAGGGCTTCAGGCAGCATGTGGGTTCCATGCAGCATGTGGACTAAAGGCAACATGTGAGCTCCAGGCAGCATGTGGGCTCCAGACAGCATGTGGGCTCTGGCAGCATGTGGGCTCTAGGCAGCATGTGGGCTCCAGGCAGCATGTAGGCTCCAGGTAGCAAGTGGGGCTCCAGGCAGCATGTGGGCTCCAGGCAACATTTAGGCTCCAGGAAGCATGTGGGCTCCAAGCAGCACGTGGGTTCCAGGCAGCATGTGGACTCCAGGCAACATGTGGGCTCCAGGCAGCATGTGAACTCCAGGCAACATGTGGGTTCTAGACAGCATGTGGGCTCTGGCAGCATGTGGACTCCAGGCAGCATAAGGCTCCAGGCAGCATGTGGTCTCCAGGCAGCAAGTTTGCTCGAAGCAGCAAGTAGGCTTCAGGCAGCATGTGGGTTTTAGGTAGCAAGTGGGCTCCAGGCAGCAAGTGTGCTTCAGGCAGCATGTGGGCTCCAGGCAGTATGTTTGCTCCAGGCAGCAAGTAGGCACCAGGCAGCAAGTGGGCTCCGGGTATCAAGTGTGCTCCAGGCAGGAAGTGGGCTTCAGGCAGGAAGTGGGCTTCAGGCAGGAAGTGGGCTTCAGGCAGCATGTGGGCATCAGGCAGCATTTGGGCTCCAGGCTGCATGTGGGCTTCAGGCACATTGTGGGCTCCACGCAGCATGTGGGCTCCAGGCAGCATGTGGGCTCCAGGCAGCAAGTGAGCTTCAGGCAGCATGTGGACTCCAGGCAGTAAGTGGGCTTCAGGCAGAATGTGGGCTTTAGGCAGAATTTGGGCTGCAGGCAGCATGTGGGCTTCAGGCAGCAAGTGGGCTTCAGGTAGCATGTGGGCTTCAGGCAGAATTTTGACTCCAAGCAGCAAGTGTGCTTCAGGCAGCAAATGGGCTTGAGGCAACTTGTGAGCTTCAGGCAGAATTATGGTTCCCGGCAGTATGTGGGCTCCAGGCAAAATGTGAGCTCCAGGAAGCAAGAGGGCTTCAGGCAGCATGTGGGTTTCAGGCAGCATGTGGACTCCAGGCAACATGTGGGTTCCAGGCAGCATGTGGGCTCTAGGCAGCATGTAGGCTCCAGACAGCATGTAGGCTCCAGGTAGCAAGTGGGCTCCAGGCAGCATGTGGGCTCCAGGCTACTTGTGGGCTCCAGGAAGTATGTGGGGTCCTGGCAGCATGTGGGCTCCAGGCTACTTGTGGGCTCCAGGCAGCAAGTGGGCTCCAGGCAGCATGTGGGCTTCAGGCAGCATGTGGGCTTTAGGCAGCAGGTAGGTTTAGGCAGCACGTGGGTTTCAGGCACATTGCGGGCTCCAGGTAGCATGTGGGCTTCAGGCAGCATGTGGGCTGCAGGCAACATGTGGGCTCCAGGCAGCAATTGGGCTCCAGGCCGCAAGTGGGCTCCTGGCAGCAAGTGGGCTCCAGGCAGCAAGTGGGCTCCAGGCAGCAAGTGGGCCCCAGGCAGAAAGTGGCTTCAGGCACATTGTGGGCTCCAGGCATCAAATGAGCTCTAGGTAGCATATGGGCTCCAAGCAACATATGGGATCCAGGCACCTTGTGAGCTCCAGGCCGCATGTGGGTTCCAGGCACCTTGTGGGCTATAGGCAGCAAGTGGGCTTCTGGCAGGAAATGGGCTCCAGGCAGCAAGTGGGCTTCATGCAGAATGTGGGCTTCAGGCAGTATTTGGGCTCAAGGCAGCATGTGGGCTTCAGGCAACATGTATGCTCCATGCTGCATGTGGGCTCCAGGCAGCATTTGGGCTCCAGGCAGAATGTGGGCTCCAAGCAGCACGTGCGTGTTAGGCAGCATGTGGGCTCCTAGCAGCATGTGGGCTACTTGCAGCACGTGGGCTCCAGGCAGCATTTGGGCTCCAGGCAGCATGTGGGTTCCAGGCAGCATGATGGTTGCAGGCTGCAAGTGTGCTCCAGGCAGCATGTGGGCTCCAGGCAGCATGTGGGCTCCAGGCAGCAAGTGGGCTTCAGGCAGTATGTGGGCTCCAGGCAGCATGTGGGTCTCCAGGGAGTAAGTGGGCTCCAGGCAGGAAGTGGGCTTAAGGCAGCATGTAGGCTTTAGGCTGCATTTGGGCTCCAGGTGGCATGTGGGCTTCAGGCACATTGTGGGCTCCACGCATCATGTGGGCTGCAGGCAGCAAGAGAACTTCAGGCAGCATGTGGACTCCAGGGAGCTTGTGGGCTACAGGCAGAATGTGGGTTCCAAGCAGCAAGTTTGCTCCAGGCAGCAAGTGGTCTCCAGGCAGCATGTGGGCTCCAGGTAGCATGTGGGCTCCAGGAAGAATTTTGGGCTCCAGGCAGCATGTGGGCTGCAGGCAGCAGGTGCGCTATAGAATGTGTGGCTCCAAGCAGCATGTGGGCTCCAGGCAGCATGTGGTCTCCAGGCAGCATGTGGGCTCCAGGTAGCATGTGGGCTCCAGACAGAATGTGGGCTCCAGACAAAATGTGAGCTCCAGAAAGCAAGTGGGTTTCAGGCTGCATGTGGGTTCGAGGCAGCATGTGATTTCCAGGCAACATGTGGGCTCCAGGCCATATGTGAACTCCAGGCAACATGTGGGCTCTAGACAGCATGTGGGCTCTGGCAGCATGTGGGCTCCAGACAGCATGTAGGCTTCAGGTAGCAAGTGTGCTCCAGGCAGCATGTGGGCTTCAGGCAGCATGTGGGCTTCAGGCAGCAGCATGTGGGCTCCAGGCAGCATGTGGGCTTCAGGCAGCATGTGGGAAGCATGTGGGCTCCAGGCAGCATGTGGGCTCCAGGCAGCATGTGGGCTTTAGGCAGCATGTGGGCAGGCCGCATGTGGGCTTTAGGCAGCATGTGGGCTCCAGGCACATGTGGGCTCCAGGCAGCATGTGGGCTCCAGGCAGCATGTGGGCTCCAGGCAGCAAGTGGGCTCCAGGCAGGAAGTGGGCTCTAGGCAGCATGTGGGCTCCAGGCAGCATGTGGGCTCCAGGGAGCATGTGGGCTCAAGGCAGCATGTGGGCTCCAGCCAGCATGTGGGCTCAAGGCAGCAAGTGGGCTCCAGGCAACATATGGTTTCCAGGCAGCATGTGGGCTCCAGCCAGCATGTGGGCTCCAGGCAGCAAGTGGGCTCCAGGCAACATATGGTTTCCAGGCAGCATGTGAGTTCCAGGCAGCATGTGGGCTCCAGGTAGCATGTGGGCTCCAGCAGCATGTGAACTCCACGCAGCATGTTGGCTCCAGGCAGTATGTGGGCTCAGCACATTGTGGGCTCTGGCAGCATGTGGGCTCCAGGCAGCATGTGGGCTCTGGCAGCATGTGGGCTCACGGCAGCAAGTAGGTTCTTGCAGCATGTGGGCTCCAGGCAGCATGTGGGCTCTGAAGGCATCATGTGGGCTCTGTCAGCTTGTGGGGCAGCATGTGGGCTCTCCAGGCAGCATGTGGGCTCAGGCAGCAGCATGTGGGCTCCAGGCAGCATGTGGGCTCCAGGCAGCATGTGGGCTCCAGGCAGCATGTGGGCTCCAGGCAGCATGTGGGCTCCAGGCAGCATGTGGGCTCCAGGCAGCATGTGGGCTCCAGGCAGCATGTGGGCTCCGGGCATCATGTGGGCTCAGCAGCATTTGGGCTCAACAGCAAGTGGACTCCAGGAAACATGTGGGCTCCAGGCAGCATATGGGCTCCAGCCAGCATGTTGGCTCCAGGCAGCAAATGGGTTCCAGGCAGCATGTGGGCTCCATGCAGCATGTGGGCTCCGGGTAGCATGTGGGCTCCAGGCATCTTGTTGGCTTAAGGCAGCAAGTGGGCTCAAGGAAGCATGTGGGCTCCAGGCAGCATGTGGGCTCCAGGCAGCATGTGGGCTCCAGGCAGCATGTGGGCTCCAGGCAGCATGTGGGCTCCATGGCAGGCAGCATGTGGCTCCAGGCAGGCAGCATGTGGGCTTCAGGCAGCATGTGGGCTTCAGGCAGCATGTGGGCTTCAGGCAGCATGTGGGCTCCAGGCAGCATGTGGGCTCAGGCAGCATGTGGGCTCCAGGCAGCATGTGGACTCCAGGAAACATGTGGGCTCCAGGCAGCATGTGGGCTCTGGCAGAATGTGGGCTCCAGGCAGCATGTGTGGGCTCAGGCAGAATGTGGGCTCCATGTGGGCAGCATGTGGGCTCCAGGCAGCATGTGGGCACTGGCAGCATGTGGGCTCAGCAGCATGTGGGCTCAGGCAGAATGTGGGCTCCAGGCAGCATGTGGGCTCCAGGCAGCATGTGGGCTCCAGGCAGCAAGTGGGCTCCAGGCAGCATGTGGGCTCCAGGCAGCATGTGGGCTCCAGGCAGCATGTGGGCTCCAGGCAGCATGTGGGCTCCAGCAGCATGTGGGCTCCAGGCAGCAGGTGTGGGCTCCAGGCAGCAGGTGTGGGCTCCAGGCAGCAGGTGTGGGCTCCAGGCAGCAGGTGTGGGCTCCAGGCAGCAGGTGTGGGCTCCAGGCAGCAGGTGTGGGCTCCAGGCAGCAGGTGTGGGCTCCAGGCAGCATGTGGGCTCCAGGCAGCATGTGGGCTCCAGGCAGCATGTGGGCTCCAGGCAGCATGTGGGCTCCAGGCAGCATGTGAACTCTCCTGGCAGCATGTGGGCTCCAGCATTGGGGCTCAGCAGCATGTGGGCTCCAGGCAGCATGTGGGCTCTGAGGGCTCTGGCAGCATGTGGGCTCCAGCTGGCAGCATGTGGGCTCCAGGACGCATTTGGGCTCCAAGCAGCATGTGGGCTTCAGGCAGCTTGCGGGCATAGCACATTGTGGGCTCTGGCAGCGTGTGGGCTCCAGGCAGCATGTGGGCTCAGGCAGCATGTGGGCTCCAGGCAGCTGGCAGCATGTGGGCTCCAGGCAGCATGTGGGCTATGTGGGCTCCAGGCATCATGTGGGCTCTGGCAGCTTGTGGGCTTCAGGCAGCATGTGGGCTCCTGGCAGCATGTGGGCTCCAGGCAGCATGTGGGCTCCAGGCAGCATGTGGGCTCCAGGCAGCATGTGGGCTCCAGGCAGCATGTGGGCTCCAGGCAGCATGTGGGCTCCAGGCAGCAAGTGGGCTCCAGGCAGCATGTGGGCTCCAGGCAGCAAGTGGGCTCCAGGCAGCAAGTGGGCTCCAGGCAGCATGTGGGCTCCAGGCAGCAAGTGGGCTCCAGGCAGCATGTGGGCTCCAGGCAGCATGTGGGCTCCAGGCAGCATGTGGGCTCCAGGCAGCAAGTGGGCTCCAGGCAGCATGTGGGCTCCAGGCAGCATGTGGGCTCCAGGCAGCATGTGGGCTCCAGGCAGCAAGTGGGCTCCAGGCAGCATGTGGGCTCCGGGCAGCATGTGGGCTCCAGCATGTGGGCTCCAGGCAGCATGTGGGCTCCAGGCAGCATGTGGGCTCCAGGCAGCATGTGGGCTCTCCAGACAGCATGTGGGCTCAGCAGCATGTGGGAGGGCTCTGGCAGCATGTGGGCTATGGCAGCATGTGGGCTCAGCATGTGGGCTCAGCATGCTGGGCTCATGTGGGCAGCATGTGGGCTTCAGGCAGCATGTGGGCTCTAGGCAGCATGTGGGCTCCAGGCAGCATGTGGGCTCCAGGCAGCATGTGGGCACAGGCAGCATGTGGGCTCAGCAGCATGTGGGCTAAGCAGCATGTGGGCTCTGGCAGCATGTGGGCTCAGGAGCATGTGGATCTCTGGCAGAATGTGGGCTTCAAGTAACATGTGGGCTCCAGGCAGCATGTGGGCTCCAAGCAGCATGTGGGCTGTAGGCAGCATGTGGGCTCTGGCAGCATGTGGGCTCCAGGCAGCATGTGGGCTCCAGGCAGCATGTGGGTTCCAGGCAGCATGTGGGCTCTGGCAGCATGTGGGCTCCAGGCAGCATGTGGGCTCCAGGCAGCATGTGGGCTCCAGGCAGCATGTGGGCTCCAGGCAGCATGTGGGCTCTGGCAGCATGTGGGCTCATGCAGCAAGTGGGCTCCAGGCAGCATGTGGGCTCCAGGTATCAAGTGGCAGCATGTGGGCTTCAGGCAGCATGTGGGCTCAGGCAGCATGTGGGCTCCAGGCAGCATGTGGCTTCAGCATGTGGGCTCCAGGCATGTGGGCACGCAGTGTGGCTCCAGGCTGGCTTCAGCATGTGGTGGGCTCCAGGCATGTGGGCTCCAAGCAGCA